TAGGAGTCATTCAGACCTACATTCTATTTAAGGTTCAAATTTGGTAATATTAAAAGAGAACTGGAAATAAACTTAGGGAAAAAAGTCAAAGCAGGCATCCTCACTCAAGTTCCTAGGAGGCTCTTAGGGCTTTGAGTGGCCAGATGTCACTGGCATGGTGGCTTTGCTCTGTGTTTCTTCCTGAGTCAACAGAATTAGGCAACCTCTGGAAGCCATTCTGCTTCCGTTCCTCAGTCTCTCAACATGGTTGTAGGTGGGAACCAGGAAGGAAAACAATTTCCCCTATTTAATCTGGTGTATTCAAAGAGTTTTTTAGGTTTGGTATGGGCATGGGATCTGGTTGTGGCCTGCTGAACTATTAAAGAGGAGATGAAACCTTATGGCCAGAGGGTAAAGCTTATAGCACAAACTGCTTCCTCTGATAAGTTTCCCTCCACCTGCAATAGGGCTGTGGGTGGTATGGTGTTGGGACATGACTGGTAGGAGGAGCTTGGGAGGTTCCTGTAAATTTGGCTCTTGTCAAATTGTAGAGGAAGTGGCTCTCTCTCTTAGATTTGTTTCATGGTATAAGCGAGTTTGCCTGGCACAGGGGATGATGCCACAGGGCCAAGAAAATCTCTTAAGAATCTGTTGGCCAAATAATTTATATCCTAACATATGCTTTCTCTTTTTGTAGGTCATAGCTGAAGCAGGAGTTAAGTTTTGGTCCCAATGATAGAGTAGTTCTTAACCCTGGCTGCACACTCAAATCCTCTGAGGCTTTTAAAAAAATATCATTCCCTGGGTTTGACCCCAGTCCAACTGAGAATCCCTGGGGGTAGAGCCTGGGCATCAACATTTTAAAAAGGAAATATACAGGAATTAAAAGAAAACTAAAAGATGAGCCACAAAAGGGGAGAAAATATTTACAAAATCACATATGTAATAATGGAACTATATCCAGAATATATAAGAAAATCTTAAAAGTTAATAATAAGAAAATGAAGAACCCAATTAAAGAATGGGCAAAAGATTTGAACACTTCACCGAAGAAGATGGATGGCAAATAAACACATAAAAAGATGCTCAAAATATTAGCAATTAGGGAAATGACAGTGAAAACCACATTGAAATATCATTGTACACCTTTTAAAATGGCAAACAAACAAAGCAACAACAAAAAGCAACACCTGACAATTCTGAGGGCTAGCAAGGAACAGAACAACTGGAATTCTCAGGTATGGCTGGTGGGAATGAAAAATAATACAGTCACTTTGGAAAAGAGTTTAGCAGTTTATTATAAAGTTAAACCTACACTTACCACACAGTCTGACAATTCCACTCCTAGGTATTTGCTCAAGAGAACTGACAACTTGTGTTCACACAAAAACCTGTATATAAATATTTGTAATGGCTTTATTTATAATGACCCCAAACTGGAACCAACTCAATTCAACATTCAACTACTAAATGGATAAATAAACTGTAGTATATCCACGCAATGGGATACTACTCAAAAATAAAATGGAACGACCCACTGATATATACAATATGAATGAATCTTAAATGCATCATACTAAGTGAAAGAAACCAAACTCAAAAGATTATATACTGAATGATTCCACGTATATAACATTCTGGAAAGGGCAAAAGTAGAGGGACAGAACACAGATTAGTGGTTGCCAGGGGGTGGGGGTGGAGGTGAGGAGAATTGCAAAAGGTATCATGAAGGAATTATTTGGGGCTGATGGAACTCTTCTGTATCTTGATTGTGGTGGAGGTTACATAAATTTTATGTGTTGGTCAAGCTCATAAAGTTGTATATTTAAAAGAATACATTTTACTGTATGTAATTATAACTCAGTAAAGCTGACTTCTCTCCCCCAAACCATTCTTTAGAAAAAAAAACTTCCCCAAGTAATTTAAATTCATAGTCATCGTTGACAGATGTTGGTATAACAAATTTGAATCTAGGTTCTGGTATTAAAATTTCAGTTTTCTTATATGTACAACTGGAGATAATAAAACCTACCTTGAAGAGATATTATGAATCTTTTTTTTGTTTTAAAGATTTATCTATTTATTTTAGAGAGAGAGTGGACCAGTGGGAAGGGCAGAGGGAGAGGGAGAGACTCTCAGGCAGACTCCACATGGAGGGTGGAGCCCGACACGACGTGGGACTCGATCTCACGACCCTGAGATCATGACCTGAGCCAAAGCCAAGAGTCTGACGCTCAACCGACTGCACCACCCAGGCGTGGCGCAGAGATGTTACGAGTCTTAAATGTGCTGATGTACAAGCTCCAAATACAGGGTTTGGCGCACAGTAATCATAACCGCTTATGTAGTGCTATGTTCCGGGCATTGCAGCAGCACTCCCAGGCATCTCTGATCTTCACAGCAACTCTGTGAAGGAGATATCATTATGACCTCTTTCAAGGTGGAGAAACTGAGGCTTAGAGAAGTTATGGAATTTGCTCAAGGTCTCACAGCCACAGGTTGAGTGGCAGAGCCAGGTTCCAAGTCTAACCTTAACATCGCTGATTACAGTACCCCTTCTGAAATCTCAATTAATTTCAAACATCCCGCTTTTTGGCTTCACGTCTATCCCCCTAGTGCACTTTCTTGGTATTTTCAATGGTGTCTTCAGGGTTGAGCCAGGTTTTGGTAAGGCCAGAAGGAGAAAGGAACATGTATTAAAAAGTCTGAAGATACAAGAGAGTTCGATTATCGTGATATGGAGAAGTGGAGAAGTGGAGGGAATTTGGTCAGAGGAGATGCAATTACAGGGATGATGATACGGGAGTGGAAAAAAGACAGCAGAGGGGCCTTCCCTTCATTCAGTGACAAAGGATCATAGAATGAGAGGCCTGGTTGGAGTCTTCCGTTATAAATACTCTACCTTTGGCCTGGGCTCTGGCTGGGGGCTATCAGAGAATGCTGGCTGGCCTCGGTCACAGAGCGTAGAGAAGTGTATGGATGAAGCCACATGTGGAAGGGAGGCGTTCCTGACTGAGAGAGAGGTAGGGTTTTCTTTTGGTGCCTGGCGCAGTGGTGAAAGCACCAGTTACTGGGCAGTTCCAGGACCTTCAAGTAGAGCTGGGCCAGTGGTGTCCTGGTAAATGCTCAACGACGGACTCTCTGAAACCAACCAACCAACACACCAAACTCTGTTTGGAGCATTTGCCATTTTTTGTGGTGTAAATACTCCTACCATAGCCAATTTCAAGGTAACAAAGGAAAGTTGGGGAAAGGTGTGCACAATTAGGGCTCTTGGCAGCTGGTGCAAGCTGGTCCCAGCACAGCACTGGCTGGGTCAGTCTTGGGTCCTCCATATAAGCAGCAGAAAAGTCTGGGTTATATAGTGCCATGAGCACCTTGGCAGGGGGACAGCTTCCCAGAATGCAACTGAGCCTTGTTCTGCTTTCTAGATATAATGTAGCAATGTGAAGGATAAGATGTGGGTGATTTGTTTGCAGTACTCACTGTGGAGAGGGGGACAGGGCCATAACAGAATGGATCCAGAGGAGACTGGGCCATCTGCATTAACTGCGCAGGACTCAGCCGTCTGCCCTATACCTTCGGTGGGACCCCTGGTTATATGTCTGTCTTTTGTCCTACTATCACTAATTTGTTCTATATGCTAACACTTCTCGATCTATAAATTTATAGTGAGTAAGAATCTGGCACTTCCCTCCAAATAGTTTCTTTGCCAATAAGCATGAAAATGATTGCAATCGGGTTAACAGCTTTTGAAGTATCCACAGAATTCATCCATGTGAATAATGTATTTTCATCTGTAAGAAAAGAGTCCTCTTTTCTGAAGGAACCTCAATTATTAGGCTATTCATGCATCTTAGAGATGACTTCAGGAAAATGGATAGTTGTACAACCAACAGGGAAGTAAACCTTGACAAGAGATAAATAAAATCAGTCTGGAATTACTTCCCTCATTAAGTTAAAAAGATGTCAAATATAAACTGGTGCACTTTCTGGTTGTGTGTTCCTGGGCTGTGCATCCCCCGTGGAAGAAGGCTAGTCTGGATAGACAATATTCATGTAGAACTCTTCTTGTGATAGTGTGCATTCGTACACAGGAATCCTGCTATATGATATATGCTAGCATTCTTGCTTCTGAGGCACTGGATGAAGCCATCACGTTCCCTGTCAGGACACGAGCTGACCCACATGATCTGCCACCAAAAACCCAGCAAAATGTCATCCTTTTGCAATACAATGCTCAAGAAGCAGGATGTGTTCTTTTTCCTTCTTTTTCAAGTTATTATCTATTGACCTATTCCTGGGAAGATACTGTGGATCACATCTCAAGAGAAAACGAGGGAAGAGGAAAGGGAAAATAGGAGAGTCGTTTCACAAATTATCAATATATAATTCCTGGTACCTTATTTAAAAAATGAGTTTTATGCTTCTTTCCCAAGGAGAGAGACAGCACTGGTTGAACTACCCCTGTAGAATACAATCTGTTGAAGTGCTTATGGCAGATGGTGCTTTGTGATTCTCACGATGGCTTTACATTTCCTAGCTTGGTTTCCTTCTGCTTGGGGGTCACAATGCCAGTTTTTGGCTCATCAAATCCCAATTATATCAGATTTAGTGACTTGTCATTTTGCTACTCTGCCTAGCCTTTATGTATTATATTATGTATATAATATAATATTATATATTATACATATGTATTATATGTATTCCCACAAAGGGATTAACCTATCTTCCATTTAAAAGGGAGAGTTATGATAAAAATGGAGCCATTAAGACATGACAGGGAATGAGAAGGTGGGAGGTGGTCAGACACCAGAATAATTATTTGTATCGAAAAACCAAAGAAAAAAGAAAAAGGAAGCTACTACAGTTGAGTCTTGAACTCCCTGGCAGTCAAGGCAAGAAAAGAGTGCGATGACTCCTTTGTTGACACTTCATATATTTCATCACTAAATATTCTAGAGGAGCGGGTGAGCAGTAACAGACTTTCCACAGGCCTTTGACTGTATTGAGACACTTACCTGATAATATGGATGCAACGGCTGCAATGATGAAGGACACAATGACACCAGGTCCTGCCATTTCCTTGGCCACCAGACCAGACACCACGTACATCCCTGTGCCCACACAGCTGCCAACGCCAAGTGAGATGAGGTCCATGGTGGTGAGCACCTGAGCTAGCTTGGTGCCATGGGCTGTGGTGGTCCCAGTTCCCTCCAGCATGGACTCCACTGGTTTGGTGCGCAAGATCCTGGAGTGCATGGCATACCAGGCGGCCCCCCACTGCACCCGCCGGGGGTCCAGGGAGGCAAGAAAGCCACTCATCCTGCGTGATAGGGGTTACGGTGAAGGTCAACTGATGGAAGAGGTTCTATGGGAGCTTTAGTGGATGCTTCTGGAACTCATCTAGTGAATAGGGATCTCCTTTTTTAGGAAAGGTCCAAAGGGACCCAAAGCAGCCTTCTCCTGGGCATGAATGTCTGCAGGAAAAACACAAGAAAGAAGACGATGAGATCAAGCAGGAACAAACGATCACTTGGAGGCATGGTGGGAGGTCAATATAATGAACTGGTTGAACAGGTCTATCTTGTGTACTCACAATGCAGGAGGGTTGCATTTCCCCCTTTGTGTCACCTCCAGTCTTAAATAACAATCTGTTGTTTGCACTGTGTCCCTGAGTCGTTCTGAAGAAGATGGTCTGAGTCAGGGCTCTGCCACTTACTGCTGTGGGACCTTGGGTAAGTTATCCCACTTCTCTGTGCTTCAGTTTCAACTGCATAATGGGGTTAATAAAGTCTTTTGCCTGGTGTTGATGTGAAGATTAGATTAGTGTCTAAAAAGAGCTTAAGGCAATGCCTGGCACATGGAAAATGCTCACCTGGCCTGGGTCTGCCAAGACTTACCTGGTTTCTTCTTCTTGGAAGACTTTGTCTGTGGCTTTTGGGCATATTCTTTGGGGACACAACACCCTCATTTTTTAAATACAAAGATGCAAAATTAGATTTATGACTTTTAAGAAGAACAATCCCACCCCATGGAGTTGTTTTGGACCTTTGATCTTAAATAAAATGAAAAGTGTCTTGAGTGTTTTTTTGCTCTCAAAGATTAAGAGGAAGTGTTCCTGGCATTTGGTGGGTGAGCCCCAGAGATGCTAACTGGGTGGGATGGTGTCATCCATTTTTCAGTGATCTCACAGGCATTCTTGTAGATGAAAATTCTTCTTATGATGATCTAAACCTAAAACCTAATTGTTTTATGTATAAACACATGGGATTTTCAGGGATGGTTTTTAATATACAAGTACATCGACTTTTCCAGGAAGGCAACTATAGAGTAAATGGAAGGATGATTGTAAATTCTTTAGTTTGGAACCAAAAAGGAATTTTTCACTGCTTCAGAAACTCAAGGTCCCCTTTCAACGCCACCCATGGTACAGCATCTCCCATGCAGCACACCTACGAGCGCCTGCCATTTGGAACCAGCACACTGACGGTGATTCTTTATACAGTGAAAGCATCTGACAGCTCCCTGTGTGCTCACCTGAGTGTTTACATACTCAAGTATGTTATATACAGGTAGGTTATTCATACATTTTGCTTCAGGGTCTAATAAAACCTTTATTACAGAAAAGAGGCGTTGGGCTTGATAGAGCTGAGAACTATTATATTAGACGATTTCCAAAGTTTTGACAAGTTAGAGAATGCCAAGATTATATGAAGCTACTTTCTTTGGAAACCAGAAGCTTTATACAATTCTATAAAGACCTTCTAAAGTACAGCTGAACGTTGATTCAAACTACTGTGCTGACAAGCCTAGGACGTTTACATTTACAAGAAGTACCAGCCCATGTAATCTACAAATATTATTAATTAATACTACTTAGCACTTAATATAACACTTGGGTGCTTCTAAAGGCTTTGCAAATACAACCTAATTAGAAGAATCAGGCGAAATGAGGCAGTTTGGTTCACAGGGGTTGGGTGATGGACCTACTGGTTTAATTTCCTCCTAGATTTGACAGTGTTGCTTCATGCTGTGTTTTATTTCTCGACAACACCTTAAATATCAGTACAGGTGGACAGTGCCATTGTATATGGCAGAGTTATTGAAAAGCCTAGAGTGTCAGCAGTCTTTTTCCTTTTCTTTTTTTTAAAGATTTCTAGATTGAGAAAATGTGTCACATATATACCAGGGAGGCTGCAAGAACAATTGCTTTGCTTGAGCTCTTGAGCTCTTGTGAGAAATTAATGTACATACCTATTTAATTTCAACTCAGCCAGCATATACTGAGCATCTCTTATGTACCAGGCATGGTCTTAGGCTTGGGGGTGCAAGGACATGTTACCTGCTCGCATGGAGGTTTCAGTCTAGAATGGGAGGTGATGAACACCTAAATCACAATGCAAGGAATAAGGTTTGGTTTTGCTTTTTTCCTTAAAAGCCACCACTGACTGGGTGGCTCAGTCAGTTAAATGTCTGCCTTTGGCTCAGGTCATGATCCCAGGGTCCTGGGATCGAGCCCCGCATCGGGCTCCCTGCTCAGGGGGAGCCTCCTTCTCCCTCTCCCTCTGCCTCTGCCTGCCGCTCCCCCTGCTTGTGCTCTCTCTCTGTCAAATAAATAAATAAAATCTTTAAAAAAGCTTATCTTTTATTGTTTTTCTTATTATAAAGCCATACTGTGTCTACTGCAGAAAAATCAGACAACATAAACAATGATGTTCAGTGAAGAAAGAATATAATACAATACACAGGATGATAAATAAAACCTGATCATTCCAGGGAGGGATGAGGGGTATGTTAGATGTTGAATTTTGTACCCCCCCCCCCAATTCGTATGTTGAAGTCTTAATCCCCAGTGTCTCAGAATGTGCCCTCATTTGGAAATAGTTGTTACAGATGTAATTAGTCAAGATGAGGTCTTCTGGAATAGGGTGGGCACTTAATCTAATATGACTGGTGTCCTTATAAAAAGAGGACATTTGGACACAGAGAGAATGAAGTGTGAAGATGAAAGCAGAGGCCAGGGTGATGCATCTAAAGGCCAAGGAACACCAAGGATTGCCAGCAAACCACCAGAAACTGGGAGAGAGCCACAGAGCACACATCTTCCTCACAGACGGAACCAACCGCGCTGCACCTTCATCACAGACTTCCAGCCTCTGGAACTGGGAGGCAATACTGCTTTGTTATAGCAGCCCTAGCAAACTAACACCGGTCACGAAGGCTACAGAATGGGGTGCTGAAGGGTGAGAGAGGGTCTATGAGGCCATGGCATTGGCATTGGCCCTGAGTGACCGGGAGTCAGTCGTGCCAGGTGTCAGGAGAGAGCGTTCCTGCACAGAGGTCCCAATGGGAGAGCGGGTGCGACCGGTTCCTGGGACGGAATGAAGCTGGGACGGGGTGAGGAGGAGGACTCCAGTGCCTGTCAGAGCTTTACGTGTGCCAGCTAATCTAATCCTCACAACAGACCAGCCTTTGGAGATGAGGCCAGGAGAGGTCCAGTAACTGCTCCAGAGTCAAGGAGCCCACAGCGCCAGCGCTTGGCCCTGGGACACCTGCTTGCGAGCTCATGTCCCTCCTCCTGACCCTCCTGCCTGAAGTGCTCGGGGTCAGCCTGAGAGGGCTTGCAAGCCAAGACAGGGCTTGAGTCTCTCTGAGCACAGTGAGAAGCCATTGGAGGGTTTTATTACAGTGAGTGACATGGTATGATTTATGTTTTAAAAAGCTCATTTTAGCTGCCGTGAAGTTAACCGCAGAATCATGTCCTAATGATAAGTTAGTTCCAGGATGGAGTAGAAAGGTGCATGAGGTGTGGCCCCGCCGCTGAGGAGACAGACAAACCAACAGAGAACCATCACCAGAGCAGTTACACAGCAGCCTGTGCACGAGGACAGGGGACACAGGGGGGCGGGGGACAACTGTCAGGAGGGCCAGGGAGAGCCTCACAGGTCACCTGTGTCAGAAATGAGGAGAGTGGGCCCGTGTCAGGGCAGGGCAGTGGTAAATGCAAGCAGCCTTAATGTCGGCTTTCTGAGGGAAGATCACAGGGTTTTCTGATCTCCTGACCCGTTTGCAGTGGTTCTCCATCTTGACCGCACACTAAAATTGCCCAGGGTTCTTCCAGAAACACTGCTGCCTGGCTCCCACCCCAGAAATTCCAGTTTAATTGGCTTGAGGTGTGGCCTAGAGATAGGGATTCTTTAATGATAGTTCTAGCAAGGCGCAGTTGGGTCCACATGCCACCAGGGAAGACTAAAGTGCTGGGTGTGGAAAAACGCGTATTTCCTGTGATAATTAATTTTATGTGTTAACTTGACTGGGCTAAGGGATGCCCAGAGAGCTGGTGAAGCATTATTTCTGGGTGTGTCTGTGAGGGTGTTTCTGGAGGAGATTAGCATTTGAATCTGTAGAGGAAAGAAGATCATCCTCCCTTACGTGGGTGGGTGTCTTCTGATCCCTGGAGGGCCCGAATAGAACAGATAGGCAGAGCAACGGTGAATTCACTGTCTTTGCTGGAGCTGACACCCATCTTCGATTCTTGCACATTGGTGCGCCTGGTTCTTGAGCTTTTGGACACAGACTGGGATTTATACAATTGGCCCCTCCACCCTGACTCTTGGGCCTTCAGACTCAGATTTCATTACACCTGGGTCTCCAACTAGAAGACAGCCTATGGGACTTCTTGGCCTCCAGAACATGGGAGCCAATTCCTATAATTAATCCGGATCTTCATATGTATCTGTAGATGTCCTATTAGTTCTGTTTCTCTGGAGAACCCTAATACATTGTCATTTCCCACATGGGGCCACAAGTTTGACAGGTACCTCCTATTTCTCTTTTTGGACAGGTAGCTGGGCGTCTAGGCAGCTGTCTCTTCCAAACAGTGACTACAGACGCTGTGTGGTCTGGAAACACCCTCTGGGATACTTGTCTGATCAGCCTTCATCAGAAACTGTCACAAGGATGCTGAGAAATGAACCAGGCTTGTTAGGGGGGTGATGGCTTTATTTGATAGGTAATCAGAAGCGTGGTGAAAACATAGAGAACCAACTGGAACACAGGTTGAGGGCGGTGAGCGCTCCTTCCTGGCTCTATTCCCTCTGTGTAATTCCTCTTAGTGTTTGCTTTATTGATGCAAACAGGGACTTGGGGCATTTTCTTTCTTGATTGGAAATTTACTGGAGAGAACAAAATGTACGAGAAAACATGCTTCTTTCTAAGTGACTATTGACAATATCCATATTCATTACCCTCGGATTATGTTAATCAAAGATAGTTTTGGATGCTCTTTGCTGTTGTCTTTCCAAGATGAGCAATAAATGTGTATTGTGCTTTCTCTAGCACTTTAATTCAAGTTTCTCAAAATACTTCACAGCTATAACTAAGAAAGGCTTACAGGGCCTCTGGGAGGGGAGAGTCATCATTGTGGTGGTTGCCAGTGTGCTTGAGGGTTCAGCAGACTCCAAGTATGATGGTAAAA